GTGTGCCGGGCCCCCCGTCCGCACAGCGCGGAGCCCCGGCAGCCAACCAAGCTGCCCACAGGACTCTCAGGGGGCCCACGGGGGTGGGGGGCTTGGGGTTCCGGACACGGGCTGTCCCTAGCCGCCCCCTCAAGGAGTGGGTGCCCCATGGCGTGCCTCTGCCTTTTGTGGGTGGGTGTCCCCATACGTGCGCCTTGGCGCCAGCCCCTCACCAGCCTGCCTGGAGGCAGTGCTGCTTCAACCTGACCCTCTGGTCCATAGCCAACAAGAACGCCGTGGAGTCCGTGCAGTATGGCGTGGCGGGCAGTGCTGCCTTCCTCGAGTGCCAGCCCCGCTCCCCCCAGGCCACTGTCAAGTGGCTGTTCCAGCGGGACCCCAGTGACCGGCGCCGTGAGGTGATTCCCTGGGCCCTGCAGTCCTCCCACGGGTGCGGGAGTCCTCTGTACAGTAGAAACTCCACGTGGGTGAAATGCGGATAGGAGCCAACCTGGGCCAGCTCTCATTCTAAGAAAGCCCTCCCGAGCTCCCTGCCCTATAGGGAAATCATCTGGGTGAATCTAGTTCTGTGGGCACTCGGTGGGGTTTCCGCATTATATGAAACCGTTTATAGGCATGCCTCTTTACGTGAAAACTCCATACGTGTGTCCATCCGAAGTGTACCTCACTATAGGGCGGCGTCATGTGGGTGAGCTCCAGTATACGGAAATGCTATGGGGTAGCCCTCGTTTTACGGGAATGCCTTCCAGGCATCCCTCCTTACGTGGAAGTTTTATGAGGAGCCCCAGTTGGGCATTCTCATTAGATAGAAACTCTTTGTGAGCTCCAAAATTCTCCCATTGTACGCAATCCCCTCCCAACATGGAAATTGTATGGATGCCTCATCCAGGTATTATGTGCAACCTTCCTGTGGCTTTTTCTTGGTGTACGGAAATTCCACATGGCTGCCCCTGCGTGGAGTGGCCTCAAGGTGGTCTGATCTGGGAGCTGGCTGGGGCAGTGGGGTGTCACGCAGCCCCTGAGCGCCCGCTCCCTGCCCCTGCAGATCCGCGTGGAGGATCGTTTCCTGCGCACAGAGCAGGGCCTGCTGCTCCGTGCCCTGCAGCTCAGCGATCGGGGCCTGTACTCCTGCACGGCCACCGAGAACAACTTCAAGCACGTGGTCACGCGGGTGCAGCTGCACGTCCTTGGCCGGGACGCTGTGCACGCGGCCCTCTTCCCACCGCTGGCTGTGAGCGCCCCGCCCCCCCCAGG